GCCCACATTCTTGAGCAACATATGGCTTCAATCCGTCAAGACCAGTTACCAGTTCTTGTCGAAATGTCTGAAAGAACAATGGATGATATGACCATCGTTCGGTGTCCCTTGTGTCCGGACGAACGTCGACTGATGACACTCCATAATCATATCGCCGAGCATCTGGAAGAGATCTCGTTGTTTGTGCTACCAATAAACATTGAGGACGACAACCAGGACGGGGACAATTCCGAACAAGGAGCTGACGGAGACTTCTCGTCACGAATGGAGGAATACGGATTGTCGATCTCATCCACCGATAATGCTACTGGAGACCTGTCTCGCAATCATTACATCCCATACAGGAAGGTTGCGGTGAAGATCATTAGGTGGGATGAGAGTCTTGATGATCTCCAAGGCCATACTAAAGAGGTTAGTGTATTGACCATGAATTCTTAAGCCGAAGTCGCCTCCTTACGCAGCCGATAGATCGACAGATTGCAGTCACTATTCCAGAACCTCGGCTACGAATGCAGCGTTAGCCTCATCCGCGATAGCAAACGCCCACAAATCAACCTGAACAAATGCGTCTTGGATCATGTGTGGACTTATGACGATCCACGCAGTCTGATGATTTTCTACTACATAGGTCACGCCAGCGCGTCCAAGGATCATAACGGAAAAGCCAATCTGAAGTTTTCGGCGTTAGTGAACCACTCGATGACATGGACAGTTGAAACGGGAACTAACTCAAGACAGGGGTCAGAACGATGAGTACACAGCGTATTGGCATCAAGCAGAATATCCTATACTGAACGGCGCTCATGGAGACGTTATAACCATATTGGACTGCTATTCCGCAAGCTCAGCAGCTTCGCGACCCAAAAGCGCGACTGATAATGGGAGTATGACGGAGCATAGTCCCGTTGCATCAAACTTGGTATCACCTGAGGATAGCATCGAACCCAAAGGACAAGTGGACAGTCCCAGTTACTCCCTCTTAGCATCATCACTAGGAGACGAATTTACACACGGTTCTGGACCAGCTAGCTTCACCGCAGTGCTATGCGACGCACTTGAGGAACTAGTCGCTGAACTTGACGGCGGACCGTTCCCGTTAACCCAGCTTTGTGACAGGATAAACAGAAACACAAAGAACGCTGGTTCCAGTGTACTTTGGACTCGTACTCCAGCTTCGTGGCGCCAACCTCAGCTTGGACGTGTGAGGTTCGCAGAAAGTTTTCGAGAAGGCCCGCCCCAACCACTCAGACCCTTATTTGATCAGGTGGTTATGGAAATCATGTACATACTGAAGGTCAGAGACATCTTCAGATCGAGAATGAGGATATCAGGCGCGCAGGAGAGAGACAAGATGCTGTGAATACCGCAGAGTGGAAATTCTGATCGTTCAGTGGGATTTACGCGTCCTTTACCCCCTTGGTGTCCTTGACGCTAAACAATACAACTCCCATATCGAAAATCAAAAGGAGGACGTTCCGAGTAGACTAGGAGACTAAAATCCCAGTCGAGCCTGGTGGGATGAAGATCCTGGGAAGCAGGAAGTACAGAAACAAGTCGAGCGTATACAACGAGATGGTGCTGCGCAAGAACTCGGATATACCAAAAAACAAATGAGTTTCAAGGGAGGCGAACACCGCGAAGAACTCATTGAATCCAGGCCGCATGACCACGAAGTACGCGATTTCAATCTCCAGAAGAAAGGATCGTCAAACGCTGACCAGTACTTGCAGATCGGCCAGCCTATATTAATTTTCCCATTCGGCTTTGGTTACTCATGTACTTTCGCCAGCATCCAGCACGGAAAGTGTTGTTAAACTGACTTGAATGACGCCATTCTTCAGCATGTGCAAAGCTGTGAAGGGAACAAAAATCTACTCATCGTTTATTATGGCGGTTACAGCAAAACAGAGGGGGTACAGGCCAAGCTGTTGCCGTGAGTTGAGTAGCACTGACACCGGTTCCCAATCTTGACTTTTTAGAAGCCATGTGTGTTTATATTACTGTGAAGCGCGAAGGTCATGTACCCCTGTGGTTTATTTTAATCGTGCAAGGGTAAAGCCAAACGTCCTTAGAACGTAGTCGTGACTGCTGGAGGATTTCGGCGCAATTTTGACACAGTTGCGGCGGTGTACTGAAGCAGGGGACCGGCAACAGCATCCCGTATCATGCATCCTGCTCATAGATGCGTGTGTCGTAACGTTTACAGCATTCTGGATGCACGAATCGGGGTGATGGTAATGTGGGCTGATATGGTTGAGCGGACAACAAAGCTAATTTTCGGTGCCCTATTGTCGTATGTGGAAGATTGAGTGACTTGGTGGTATATAGCGATGTCGGAGTCGACTGTACAAGTAATTGTTAGCAAGACCGACGTGCAGGAGAGATGCGATCACGGAGGGCAAGACCAGCAGTAACCTGTACTCGAGAGCGGGATCTTTAGACGCGATGCTGTCTGTCTACAAGACTGTATTGTGAGTCGTTGCGGCACGGCGCAGGGCGCTACCGAGGTATAGCTGTGATGGTGACGCATGCCGAGGATAGAACCAGCTTGTTGCCGTAAAGTGGAATGGAACAGAGGCAACAGTAGTAGTGGGCTGGATGAACACCAAGCAAGATCCGCATGCCTCCTTCATCTACTGTAGGGGTGGCGGCGCGGCTCGGACACGTGCGCAGACGCGTCCACGTTCCAAGGCGCCATGATGGCGCGTAAACAAGCCGATGACGTAGCGTGGCTTGGGGCCAGCCATCAACACCCGGGCAGATGGCGCATACATATCCAAGGCTGGGACTGGCAATTGCCCATCCATTCACCTCAATATCTACGCAATGAATTTCACAAAAGCAACGTCTCTACGAGCTTTGTCTCGCGCACTATCTAGGGCCAGGTGCCCAGCAGCGAGGAGACAATATGCGACAGATCATGAGCAGCGCACCAAGGAAACGCTGAAGACATCGTCGCGATTGACATGGTGAGCAATCAACCCTTCTTGTGGCGCAATTGCGTTCCCTCGACGACTAGATGCGCCGTACTGACTACCCCAGGCTCACCACAACCGCGGCCGCCGGCGCTGCAGCCCTCTACTACACCACCACCCCATCCACATCCTCCGCCTCATCCTCCACGTCCTCCTCCTCCGCGCAATCAGCCTCGAAGGCCTCCCCATCTCCCCCGGCATCACATGATACCACCCGACCAGGGCATCGCCACGAATCCGAGTACGCCTCCGACGTTCCCAAGCCCGTGGAAGACCGCCACGGCGACAGCGTCACCAAACACAGCATTGCCGCGCACAAGAACCAGAACAAAATTCGCGAGGGCAAGTTCTCGGGCAAGGAGTTCGACAATCATGAGCAGGTGCATTCGCCCGGGAAGCCTGGAGGTGACTTCGAGGTTAAGCGGTAGGATGGATGGAAGGAATAAGGGAGGTGAAGATGGTTGAGCGTAGTAGAACGGAATCGCAAAGTCATTGAGCGCACTCATGCTCTCTGTCGATGTCTTGTATCCATTCATATCCGCTTCTTCTGTCCTGATGGGGAACAAGATATGCCGGCGAAGCTGCCTTCTTCCGCATGTATCCTATATTCGGTTCGTATATACCATCGATCTAGGTCTCGCTTGCATCGCATTTGCGCACGTCTATTGTGGCCCAAGTCCCGCATCCCTCAGCTCCTTGAAGAACTTATTGGAAAAAGCCGAATCAACGAATTCCAGAAATTGGGTAACTTGCTTCCCGTCCTCCGTGAAATGCAAGATCAGCGCGTATTCATTCGCATACGGTCCGATGTCACTTTCTGCTGTGCTCGTCGCATGCATGATACATGTATGCGCATCTACATCATGCACCTCTGTGTGGACGGTGACCTACGATGATGTCAGTCGCTTGCATTCCCAAACTGAACTCTGCCTCTTACTTTGAAGTTCCTGAAATGTGGCAGCATTTGACTGAAGCGCTCGCGATATTGGGTGTTGTTCATGATTGGTCGCCCTAGGGATGCAGGAAGGACTTGTTGTGTGCAATCTTCCGTTCGATAAGCCATGATCTTGTCCATGTTCCAAGCATTGTACCCGTCAATGACGGCTTGGGCCGTTGCTTTTTGGGCGACGAGGGCGGACATTATGGATGCTCAGAGATGGAAGATGGCATTAGTATTGCAATGGTAAGCTGCGTTATGATGATTGATATATATATGCCTGACTGATCATAACCTTGGAACAGGCTAGCGAGAAGCGGGCAGGTGGCGGGGTTGATAGACGCATGGTCGTTGGCGAGTAGTAGCTACACACCCTCAAGACGCGACGATTTAGGTTTGTAAGGATGCGTCATGCACTAGGGCGACCGTTGCGCGCCGGAAGTCTCACCATACAGCGCGCAATTTGTTCCGCTGTTTAGGCTAGTTGCTGCCTTCTCACATGCCCCAATGCCCTTTCTCCCCGCCCAACGCCTTCACAGCTATGCCCACATTATCGCACATGCGCGCCTGATTGCTGACGTTCCTATGCAGGCGTGCGCAAAAAGCAAAACGCCTTTAATCTGCAACAAAGCCCCGCCATTAGGGAGCCGCGAAGAAAAGAGAAGATAATGCGCCTTTGACCCCCGGGCTGAGCATCGAGAAGATTTAGAACCGTCCCTAAGGGAATGTTCCCTTGAAAAGTCCAATACTCTCCGCATTAACTCCTCTGAGGGCTCCTTCTCTTCGTATTTCGAGATCGCAAGAGCAGTCCTAAGAAGATTATTTATCTTACAACTATTTAGTACGTACCTTTCGTCAGGTATTAGCAAGGCTACGTAGAGCCGATGATGTTACCCTTATGCTACTTTCGTGTGCTTAAAGAACAGCTAGCATTACTGCGACGAGAAATATGCTTGTATCACGAACCTGAATGGCTGCTATGAACTTATACGGCAGCTAGAGCATGAGATAAAATACATATCGAAAGGTCAATAATGCACATCCGCTGAACTCGACGACCAAGCCCACTGACTTTGATGCCCGCGCCACTAGCCACGTCGATTCCGGAAATGTTCCTTCGCTTTACCAGCAGGAAGACCCGTTCTTCGCTTGCTCCCCACCCAATATCCAGCCACTTCGCAAACACCCCGATCTAGTGCTGGGATTTTTGCTCTTCCAAACACCTCGTCCGTACTCAACTTCCATGGCTGACCTCCCACATCTGAAGCCATCAGCTCCGTTCTCGGCTTTACGTTGTCCAAGAAGAAACGGTCGATCGTAATTCCGAGTGCTTTCGCGCTTATAATGTCTGTGTATTCGAGCGTGTAGAAGGGCTGGCCGATGTAGTATACACTGATTGAGCGCAGACCTGGAAGATAAGTGGTCGGATCGACAACGGTGTCGTTCAGCAAGCGTCTCACAAACCCCGACGTGAGAACCATACAGTCGACAATAGTCAAAGACTTGAGGCTCACCGGCAGTACCGAGAATAAGAGTCCGTTGGCCAGCACGACGTGACTAGGTGGAAGCGCAGACTCCGGTATTATCAACGTCTGTAAGTCGTCGAAATGGTAGTACATGGGCGAGATGAGTTGAGCCCGAGAGAGTGTTATACCACTCCATGAGGATGGCAGCTCCAGCTTGGTGAGGCGAGAGTACTTGGGTTCGAAGACTTGAGCGAGGTACTTGTGCTCTCGTAGTTGTTGCGTCGAGGGGTCATTGGTCCAGTGACGTCGCCCATCAACCTGCGGGCTCATTGGTCCTTGCCACGGGTCTGCGTCCCTGAGCAACATCGGATAGTGCAACATATGACCGCCACCGAGAAGCAGTTCTTCAAGGTTTGGTAGCACCAGCAGAAGCAGAGCGAGGAAAGCGTTGTTGTGACCCGCTCGGAGCGCGTTATCCCACATCCGCTTGTTGTGGTTACTCACGTCTTCAGCGTCCCGGATAACGTTTAGACAATCCGTTCGGAAAGTAACTTCGGTCTCGATAGCGAACTGCCTTGACGGCATTCTTGACCGGCGTCGCGCATCCACGTATCGTAGGAGCCCAGCGCGCAATCTGCGCCGAAGTTCACGGACACTGCTCCAAGGCTTTTGTATACAGCCATCTTCATTGCCACCATAGTCTGCTTTCCGAGCCTCAGGAGATACATAGTTTGTAATTTCAAGAGACTCGACTCTCTCCGCCCATTCGTTGGCGGGAAAATCCCGGAGCGTTCGAAACAAGGCGAATGCTTTTGGAAGGGGAACAGTGAGTGCTTTGAGCTCGTGAAAGGTGGTTCGAATGACTCCGGGGAAGCGAGTGTTCGCAGCGGCGAGGGATATTAGATTTCCGTAGGCGCTTCGGTCGAAGCGCGGCTCGACTATTAGATGAGGAATGACTTGAAGAAGTAGTTCGTCGGGAAGGTCCCTGATACCCGCCTTGGGGATACTGCTGGCTGTGGAGGACGACATGGCTGAAGATCAATAGTCTGCGAGCGTGCGGAGGGGCAAATCCACGAATAAAGAGTATCAATAACAGTGATCATATGAAGGAAAAGGAGAGTAAATCCATAAGCAGGTGTTAGTAGGCACCCGTCTGACTACACAAGTGCCCCTCTATGCGTTCGATTAGGATAGACATGGTAGAAAGTGCGGGGCAATGGGATCGAAGCGTAACCAAAACAAGGCGAGATAGGGAATGTTCAAGCAAGATTCCCTAGCCAACATGTGCTGTTGCCTGGAAGGGGGTTCCGTCTCGAGTGAAATGGTCGCAAACCTGTCTTTATATAACGGGTAGCAAGTGCAATGGTCACGAGCTTCCTCGAGAGTGGACAGTAGCGGACATAATGTACATTAGAGAAGACTGTCGCCTACTCCAATCGAGCCATCGAGACAAGCAGTGAAGTCGTCAAGGAAATCGCAGAAGCTGCTATGTGCTTTCGTTGCCCGACCACATGTGTATTATTGCACCACAAGCAATTATTGTGAGTACTTCCTTTCGTGGCCTGTCTTTTGCGGGCACATCCGGCCTGTCGCTGGTATCAATCCTGTCTCCATGCTCAGTGCTGACTAGACGGCAGACGAGTGTTGTGATGAGATCATCAAGTACACCGACACAACCGTAACAGTGACCGTACTTCGATTTCCTTGGGGGCGACATCAATGCAGCCCCGACGTAACTGGGACAAGTGGTGGAGGAGCAACCCCTGCGTGTATGAAACGGACGTCCACGTACTCAAAGGGCCTGAAAGGGGGGGTCTTCCCAGGAACAGATTTCTGTCACTGCCGTTGTTCATATCCTATCCAGTACGCAGTGTGACTGCACCTTGAGATACGGCATCGGACCGTGCAAGATTTAATGTGGTTCTGCGACCAGCGGCCTTGCATTCACAACCTGTCCAGGGGCGGGTGACTGTTGACTCGGTCCGATTTGATCGCTGAAGGGATCGTCCGCCAACGGTTTTCTCCGCAGCCCAGGCACGTTCTCATAGTCATTGCTGGCGAGAATTCTCTGCTACGACTCGTTGAATGACATCGTCGAACTCGGCGAGAAGAAAGATGTTGCGACTACACGTTCATGTCCGGTGAAAGACTAGCATAGTGCTCTCTGGACTGCCAAGTCGATAGTCAGAAGGCTCGAAGCTGAGGTTTGCGTGTAGCTCGACACGGGCATTCGAGGTGGAGCAGGCACGTGGCGTGGAGACGCGTCGGGAAATTGCTGATGGCCCAATTCGTCCAGACAGCGCTAATCCTCCACCAGTTCGGTAAAGCTAGGGTCAAGGCACGGGTAAAATCTCCAACGGCCGTCTCGTGGTTGTAGCGCGATGTCAACAAAAGGCTGCGTCATGGAAGGTCTACCGTGCGCGTTGTGAAGGCACTACCTAGGTAAGCTGTGTTGGTCAACGCTACGCCGCTTGGGGAACATTCGGGCCGATCCAGGAAGGAGTGTGCCTGAGTGCTGGCTTCCGACGATCGGGCAAGGACACCACCTCACTTTCTGTAAAACCGCGACTCAGTAGTTTGCGCGACCACATCATGGACTGCAACTTCAAATATACTTGAGTAACTGGAGACAACAAACTGCAGGTCGTCTACACTAGAAGACGCGCATACGGGCCGATCGTTCACGTTGTAACGGTGAGATGTGGCTGAGCGGACTGCAACCCACTGACAAGGAACAAAGAGCCGCTCTGAGAACGACCAATGCAGCGTCGATACCAGTGCGATGGCAGCCCTATCTAAGCTTTTCTCGCTGAATGGGTCATACCAATGAGTCGCTGGAGACGTCTACGATAGTCCGCATCGAAGCCGCGAGTTCCGCGCCCTGGCAGTTCTACCCCTGATGCCGATCCCAATCGACACCGACACAATGACCTGAAGCGCACAGGTTATGACTCGGGTCTGTTAGAGGCACAGCGAAATAGCAAGAGCTTTGGGAACCTGAAAGCGGCGTCGCGCATGGCGCATGCCCTTGAAGGCATCCTGATTAAGGTTCCTCTTGGTAAGGCGAACTAAATGAATTCAGGGATGCACACCTGGGAAAGCCACGACCGACAGTATCTATGCCAAGCTGCCAGCCTCAAGACAAGATACGGTGAGGCTGTCAAATCTGCCATACTCCAGCTAGAAATTACTCGAGCGGGGCACAGGACCCGTGCTGGTGGTTTCCACCTTTATGGGGTCACCAACAGCGATCTACGCTCATGATACCACTTCATAATGGCCGAATGCATGGGTCTCTCCAGTGGATCAACTACGGACACCCTGGAATCAGGCTTTGTCATGTCGATCGACATCCTACTGGTCTTCCTAATGCACACAACGGTGATATACCGGACATTACTGTGCTGCCACACTTGTACATGGTGTGGCGTTAGGAGAGAGACGTTGGAGTGGGTGAGTATATAAGTACTATCGGCTCCGACTTCAGTAGTAGTATCATCCAGCTACAGATCCACAGTCATTCCTTTTTTACGACACTCGCTTTTTGCTCCAACTATTTTACAGTCTTTCCAAGAACCCTAATTCTCCCAAGATGCGTTTCAACGTCCCCGCCATTCTTGCAGCCGCCGCTGTTGCGAACGCCGCTGTTATTCCCCAGATCCCCAAGGTTGATGGCGTCGTTGGCGGCGCCACATCTGGCGTCTCTTCCACCGTCAACGTGAGTACATTCCATGTCGTCTTAAAGTTCTTTAACTGACAACTTCAACAGAAGGTTGAGGGTGTCGCAAGCCCCAAGATCAACGCCTCCATCGGCCGCCGTGTTAACGCAAAGGTCGGCACCAAGTTCGGCTCCGTAGACGCCTCCGTCGACCCCAAGAAGATCAACGCCAACGTTGGTGCCCACATCACCAGGCGCCAGGTCCCTGACGTCAAGCCCATCGTTGGTGGTGCTACCTCCGGCGTCACCTCCACTGTCAACGACGTCAAGAACGTCGGTGCTTCCGCCAACGTTGAGGCTCTCGACGACACTGTCGAGGTTGAGGTCGGCAAGCGCCAGGAGCTTCCTGTCGCTGGTGACCTCGTCAACGGTGCTACCTCCAAGGTCACCTCCACTGTCGACGACGTCAAGAACATCGATGCTAAGGTCGATGCCCTCGGTGCTTCCATCGACGCTTCCATCGGCAAGCGCCAGGACCTTCCCGTTGTTGGCGATCTCCCCGTTGCTGGCGGCGCTGCCGGCGACGTTACTTCCAAAGTTGGCTCTACGCTCGCCGACGTCCAGAACCTGAACGTCAACGGCATCGCTGAGGGTGTCACCGCCCCTGTTGCCCCCGTTGTTGACGGTGTCGAGTCTGCTCTCAAGCCTGTTGTCGACGGTGTCGAGCAGGCTGTTGCCCCTGTCACTGGCGCTGTCTCCGGCCTTGTTACCCCCATTGTCAACGACGTCAAGGACAGCGCTCTTGGTGCCGTCAACGGCATTACCTCCAAGGTTGAGTCCACTGTTGGATCCACTGTTGACGACGTCAAGAACACCACTGGTTCCGCTTCCGCTCTTGGTCAGTCCGCTGATGCCGCTGTTGAGAAGCGCCAGGTTCCTGACGTCGCCCCCGTTGTTGGTGGTGCCACTGGTGCCGTCGAGCCTGTTGCCAACACTGCCACCGGTGCCGTTAAGCCCGCCGTCGACACCGTCAAGGGTGCCGTTGAGCCTGCCGTCAACACTGTCAAGGGCGCCGTCGACCCTGCCGTCAACGCTGTCAAGGGTGCCGTTGAGCCCGTTGTCAACACTGTCTCCGGTGTTGTCTCACCTGTTGTCGACAACGTCAAGGGCGTAGCCGGATCTACCGTCAAGACCGCCACCGACAAGGTCGGCTCCACCGTCGACGATGTCAAGAACATTGACGTCTCCGCCGATGTCCTCGGCGCTGCCAAGGTCGACGCCTCCCTATAAAGGCGCTGCTAAGCTATGACGGTCATGCTTCGAGCGTTACGCAATCTTCCAGCGTCCATAGCGGGACGCGTTTGTACATATATCCTAATCTGTAGTAACATCTAATCAGAAATACCCCCCCTAACTTCATCTATTGCTCGTGCACATGATAAATTGAGAGTGACTCGTGATGCTCCTTTTTGGCCGATACTTTGCGCTGTGCTAATTACGCCCTATGAACGAAAACTTGTCAATACATCGATGCCAACTGTATGATGTCCCCCCTTACCGACATCAAATGACCACATGACGAAGAGCGCATCATTTCTGTCACCCTCGATTGAGCTCTGTGGGCCGTCGAGAGTTGCCTCGTCTCTAACCACAGTTTTGCGCCATATCCAAGCTCTTAAGCCACCCAACATTTGAATCTGTGTAGTCATTGTGTTTCCGTGTCGACACATCCTACCGTATTTATTCTGGATCTTCTGCATTAAAGCTTCGTCGAGTTGCGAAGAGTGTATTACCTTGGCATTGGCTGTGCTCATGATCTGAGTGGTGGTCTGTATGTACCACGGTACATATCCTGGAGCCGAGGGTCATCCGTAGTTCAAGACACACATGCTGGGCCAGAAGACCCATCACCCAGTCTTAGCTGTGCAACGACTGAGAAACCCTTGGTATAGATTAACATGTATTTATACGCGATCTATTGCTTTAGGGCATTCTTCTCCTAATCCTAACGCCCTCTTCTTTCGCAGCAGCAGCAAATATACACCAAGCTGGGTCAACATGATGTCTCCAAATAACGCACACAAGCGACAGAAGCTTGGTCTCAAAGAGTAAGTGGCAAAGTATCTTGAGAGAAAAAGAGAGAGTATGCTGACAAAATTAATCTCAGTTTCTCAGATTCAAAGATCCTATCTGACATCACGATTCGATACGGACCTATAGGAGAGCGTATATTCGAAGCCCACAGGATAGTGCTAAGTTCGAAGTCATACTGGTTCAAGGCAGCCTTCACTGGAGGATTCGCAGTAAGTCTAGTCTCTTACGACAGAAACGCATGCCTCTACTGACGTGATAAGGAGAGTTCCGCCAGGGATATCACCCTGAAAGAAGACGACCCCGATGCTCTCAAGACTATGCTTGAGTTCGCATACGATGAGGATTCCCTCCATCCCGACGAGTTGGCAAAAGGTACTCCCATTGGTATCCGTCATGCCTTGGGGCTGTACCGCGTCGGTGACAAGTACGACTTCCCGAGATTCCGAGACTGTACCATCTCTTGTTTCAAGCTTCGCTTGGAGCACTGGCTCAGTCAACCTTCGCTTGGGGACGACGCTGCGCACAAAGACTTTTGCGATATTGTTAGAGAGGTCTATGACATTGTTGGTCCAGACAACCATCCGCGTCAGAAGCTAGTGGTGGCTTTGCTGGAAACGATAGACGATGTGGACTCCACGCGCATTCTCAACAACACGGGGGGTAAGCAACGTTCGGTAGTAGAGGCGGCCCAAGAAGTAGCACCATTTGGACGAGACAGTTTCCTGCACTTGATGGCCAAGACCGGAAGTTCAGCAGTCAACGAGTTCGGCTTGGTAAGTACAACTGAGTTGTGCACGGGAATCAGGGTCAACTGCCCCAGATGTCTTGCCATTTGGTGGAGAGTGGTACTTGAGGAAGACGAAGACAGAATAGAACGGTGCATTTGCGAAAACTGCAACCGGAGTATGATTGACCTGGGTGTAAAGCGGGATGAGGCAACTTGGACTGCACGTAGGTAGTTTTCTGGTAGGCTTGCATGGATGCAAAAGTGGTAGCGCGGTCTTGCCTCGGCAGCGGAGATCTCCGGCACTACCGGTAGGCCACCCTGAGCTAGGTTTCAACTTTCCAATGTTCCCCCCTCGAATTGCTGTTCATGAACTTGCGATTCCACCAGCCTGCCACTTTAACGACGTTACGACCCATTGACGACCAATTTGCATCTCTCGCTCTCTTTTCTGTCTTTCCGAACTGTTAGAGATACTACGCGTGACTCCCATCTAGCTCGGAACTGTCTGCGACCACATACCTAGAACACACGCCCTCGCGCAATCACGCCTCACCGCTCTCGACCTCAGCTACACAGCTCATACGAGTTATCATCGCACTCGCTCTTTACGTCGAAACACCACACCCTCCTTACCTGCCCACTATGCCCGAAACAACCAAGGTCGTGCCCCTCACCTGCCACGGCCACTCGAGACCTGTGCCGCATATTCACTTCTCGTCCCTGGTCGACGAGGACCAGTACTACATTATATCAGCATGCAAGGATAACAACCCCATGCTCCGCGACGGAGTCACGGGAGATTGGATTGGTACCTTCCTGGGCCACAAGGGCGCCGTCTGGCAAGCGAGACTCTCCTCGGATGCCTCACTGGCAGCTACTGCCTCTGCAGATTTCTCTGCGTAAGTGCTTCTGACTACCGCGAGTGGAGATGGTACTAATGCTCCACAGCAAGGTCTGGGACACGCACACCGGTGAAGCCCTACACACTCTCTCCCACAACCACATCGTCCGCGCCGTCGCATTCCCCAACCAGCCCCACCCTCAGATCCTCGCGACAGGAGGCATGGAGAAGAAGTTGCGCATATACGATCTTTCACGTAGCGACGCGACGAGCTTCGAGATTGGCGCAGGTGTTCACACCGGAACCATCAAGTCGATCGTGTGGACATCGGACCCGAACGTCATAATCACAGCCGCCGAAGACAAGAAGGTGCGGTGGTGGGACTTGCGCCAAGAGTCTACAATCGGCGAGCACGCCGTCGAAGGCACTGTTGGCTCTTGCGAGTTGGATAACACCTCCTCGGAGGGCATTCTGAGCGTAGCTGCTGGAAACAGTGCCTACTTCTTCAACAGCCAGTCGCCCGGATCGCTCATCAAAAGCATTAAGACACCATACGAGATTGCCAGCGTGGCTCTGCACAACGGGGAGCGGAAGTTTGTTACTGGTGGTAGCAACCAGAATGATACCTGGGTTAGGGTCTGGGACTTCAACGAGGAGAAGGAGCTTGAGACCAACAAGGGCCATCACGGACCTATCTGGTCGGCAAGCTTCTCGCCTGACGGAAAGCTCTACGCGACAGGCAGCGAGGATGGAACAGTCAAGCTCTGGAAGTTCACATCCGGCCCGTACGGTCTGTGGAAATAGGATTTCGCATGACCGGCGCTGCTCCTTGCCACACCTATGGCCAGATGCAACATTCCAGCACCCCCATAATAGCAAATACGAGACAACTAGCATTTACCACTTTGGACACTTTGGACAAGCTGTTACCATCGCGATTCTTGACAATGACATGTATGGAGCAGGTGAGCAGAAGCGTTGCGAGATCATATCGTAATCGCAGCCTTGGAGTTGACATTACATTCGCGCGCTATCTCAGGCTACTCCAACCAGGGTAACTGTACCCGCGGAATTATCCGATTCGACATGCCGAAGGATCAACAACACCAATGGCGTGCAGCAACATCATCCGCCTGCATGTGCGACGGCCGGCCTAGGTAGCGATATGCAATGCTCAACACAACGATAAGACTGCCTTGGCAAGATAGCCGATAGCTGCGTTCACGGCCGTTGCCAAGGGTGGGAGGCCTTGACTGATACACTTAAGTACAGATGTCATGACCTCGCTGTCAGTATTGTGTTCCCGAACATTACCGTCGCCTGTGAGAAGTCGTTGCCAGGGTCTTCGGTTATCTCGCCTCTACACCTCTCAGGTCAATAGTTGGATCCGGACTTCAAGCACCAACAGCCGGTTCAGCAGCTGTACAGATTCAACATGGGAGAAAAAGAGGAGATCTCGCCAGCGCGAGAGGCTAGCATCGATGAGGGGCAACTCGCTGCTGAGAAGCAGATGCGCGATATCGGTGCAGATCTGTATCTCGAAGTCCAACAATACTCAAGAGAAGAGCTAGAAGCAGAACGCAAAGTCGTCTTGAGAAAGATCGATTGGGTCATCATGCCAATGGTACGTTCTCTCGAAGTCATACAACTAAACCATAAGACAACAAAGCTAAAGAACCACCGTAGATCTGCATAACCTACATGATCCAATTCCTTGACAAACTCTCCCTAAACTACGCAAACGCCTACACCCTAACCCCGGACCTCGGCCTCCAAGGCGACCGCTACGGCTGGGTCGCCGCCATCTTCAACTTCGGCTACCTCTTCTGGGCTTTACCAGCAAACTACCTCATCCAGCGGCTCCCCGTCTCGAAATACACCGGCCTAATGATCCTCCTCTGGTCCATCCTCCTCTGCTGCCACGTCGCCGCGAAAAACTACTCCGGCATGCTAGCCCTCCGCTTCTTCCTCGGCATGTTCGAAGCGAGTATCAGTCCCGCCATCATGAATATCGTCAGCATGTTCTACCGCCGCGACGAACAGCCCGTTCGCATGTGCGTGTTCCTCGCTTTCAACGGCATGGCAACGATGGTTGGTGCACTCCTCGGCTACGGCCTCGGCCACGCGCATTCCGCGCATATCAAAACGTGGCAACTCATCTTCCTCGTCATCGGCCTGTTGAACTTCGTCTGGGCGTGGGTGTTCCTCTGGGTCATGCCTGATAGTCCTTCCACCGCCAAGTTCCTGGACCATAAACAGCGGATTGTGGCGATTGATCGCATTGCGAGCAATATGATTGGCGTTAAGACGAAGCAGTTTCAGAAACATCAGGCGCTCGAGGCGGTGCTGGATTTCAAGGTGCTTTGTATTAGTTTGATTGGGCTGTGCTGTGGGGTTATTAATGGGGGTGTGTCGAACTTTTCGTCGAGTCTTATCAGGGGGTTTGGGTTTAGTGGCATCTATGCTACCTTGCTTCAGCTTCCGACGGGGGCTATTGAGTTTGTTGTTGTGCCGCTGTGTGGACTTGCGGCGGGTTACTTCAGGGATACAAGGTGTCTTATTCTGGCTTTGGTTTGTTTACCGCCGCTGGCTGGGTTGCTGGGGATTCGACTCACGCCGCTATCGGAACGCTGGAGTCTTGTTGGATGCACTTGGCTGCAGTACATCATTGGTGCGCCGGTTATCTTGTCCTGGAATCTGCTCACGACGAACATTGCGGGTCACACGAAGCGTAGCACTGCGAACGGAATGTGGTTCGTTTTCTACGCGGCGGGCAATATTGCAGGAGCGAACATCTTCTTCGCGAGGGAGGCGCCGCGTTATTTCTCGGCATTAACGGGGCTCATCGTTTGTTATTGCGCAATGGTGGTGATTGGAGGTGTACTGGCTCTGTGGATGGGTTGGGAGAACAAGAGGAGGGACAGGAAGTATGGTCAGGGCGAAGATGATCAGGCCATTCGGGATGGATTCAGTGATTTGACGGATAAGCAGGCGAAGCATTTTAGGTATGCGCTGTAGAGTTCGTGGACGATTCAATGGGAAGATATCCATCGTTACTACGTACTTGTCTCATGAAGAGATGTTCATGCTCTCTAGATCTTTCGCAATGTCATACCCCGTCACATCATTCTTATCCACATTATGTGGCAAGTATCCAATGCTTTTGCATCCACCTTCATCATCAAATTCCACACCAATAATCTCCTTTGCTACCCACTGTGCAGTCTTGGCATGCAGACTGGGTTCCATCAGCACATCCTTCCTCTTCCCTCCATACACCTTGCTTCTTCCCTTGGCGAGCGCCTGGAACACTACCAACTGGTCCCGCAGGTGCTCGTCCACGCAGCCACCATGCTCGATCTCTGTTAACAAATCATCGGATACCTTCTTCACGACGGTGGGGATGATCTGTTCGAGCTTCCCAGCACGGAACCCACGATTGTATAGCCAGTCGCGGCCAAGCTTCATGCCGTTGGACGTGGTCGCTACTAGTAGGAGGTAGTAACGTTTGTCGTGGTGTGAATCTTCAAATGTAGTGTCAATCCCACCATCGTGGTCGCCCGCATAGCCGAAGAACCGAGACTGGCGTCTCTCAAACATGACATCGAGTTCCTCGCGGAACTGCCGCTCAGTATCTTTGGGTGCGATGATCGTCGCCGTTACACTGACAATCTCTTCTCTGTTGAGTAACTGAAACGCTGATAGTCTTTCTCTCATAGGCGAAATTGTGTATGTGACGATGCCAACAGTGGCACTTCCCTGTGACCAGCCCCGCGAATGGATCTGAATGCCGATGTGTGGTATGCCGATGAGTTCCAACATTGGTATGAGGACCTGAATGACGTAGTCGATAGATGGAGAGTTGGAAACGTTGGTGCCTCCATCGATGCGTACACGTATCGGCGTTTCAACTCCAGAGAAGATGATGTACGGTAGGATGGCTTGTAGGACTAGATTGACACTACCGGGGGTGCTTTGTTTGATCCGCACGTCGCCAGCAGTCAGTATGCTGTTCGTCGGTTCAAGGTCTTTTGAAGGGATGAAAGTGATTTCCCTGCTTTTGAGTTCTGCACCGTTGATGTTCGCATTGCTTGCTTGGCCTAGCCACTGCACACAGGTCAAATGCTGGGCTTTGAGTCCCCCGCCGCCGGAGCGCTTGCCTCGGATTTTGGTGATATTGATTGGTTTTTTGGTCAGGCTCGAGAGACAGAGGGCTACCCGTAGGAGTTGGCCTCCACCTTCAAGGGACGTGCCGTCTAGATGGATTGGTGTCGGTGTTTGAGTTGTGGACGCCATGGCTACGAACAATGCTGCCGTACGACTGTGCAGCTCATCGATGGGTTATGTGCAACAGTAGAACATATTCTGAGATGCATCGCTGTTGTAGCTGAGACATGGGTTGATGCCTGGTGTATGAGTGAAGATGACTCAGGCGGTCGCACCTTCCGTCCACAGGTTCACGCCGTGAATGAGCCCTAATGCCACCCGTATGTAGCAGGTGTCTATTGGGTCATATTTGCGCCTTCTTCGTTCGAGAATTTGAACTTCTTTGTGGAAACCCCGTCGATTTGGCGTGGGGGTGAACAAGGAGACGACCTAGAGCGCGCAAAGCTGCAGCGTCCCGCGGCGATGACGTCGCGCAGTCACAAACATTCAGACAATAGACATGCGTACAAACACTGGGCATCTAGACCGTGATAATTGCAAAGACCCTTGAACGCGGGCGTGAAGCTGGTTGTGCCCTGCTTCAGGGACTCTCGGAGATCGAGCCGCGGCACGCAAGCGATCGACGCGGCGGTCCTGTCGTCATCAGCGAGGCGCCGAACTTTTGATTGACATGTCCGAAGTCGTCCACTCCCACGTCCGCACGTCCATGGCCATGTCGAATGCCTCAATAACGCCCCAATTCCATCTCCACGTCCGGTAGCCGTCTCGTCTACCCCCCGCCAGCCATGCGCGCCCCGCTGGCTTTCTCCGCAAAGGCCTGGCACGGCCCAGGCAACGGAGCCCTCTTTTCAAATATACAGTCGCGCATCTCGACGACAACACCCGCCATTTCGAGATCCCTCGCTACGACGCCGATACCGAAAGCTTCAATATCCAAGGCGTCACCAAACAGCTGCGCGCCGTCTCTCTTCGCCCCGTCATCAATCCTCCGACTCGCAGCCGCGGGCACCACACGCAACAATGGCCTACACACACCAGCTCGCATGTTCACGACATCGCGACTACTAGCGGAAGCCTCAAGTAATGCCAAGCCTGCGAGACAGCGCATATCATACAAAGAGGAAATCAAACAAAAGGGCATCGTGGACCTAGAGGAACACGATGGCGAGCCCGAGAACGAGGAACAAGGCTTTGCAAAGTCCGAAAAGGCGGCGCAGGCAAAACAGGTCAACTTGAGCGCCAAACTCAGCAAAGACGGGTCTGGCTCTTCGGGCGCACCAGGCGGCATGAAGGAGATCTGGAGACTGATCAAAATTGCCCGACCTGAGCTCGGCGTACTCTCCTGGGCCTTCCTGTTCCTGCTCCTTGGTTCTGGCATTTCTCTCTCGGTACCCTTCTCAATCGGCAAGATCTTGGACGCTGCTACCTCGACTGAGAACACCAATGGTCTACTCTTCGGTGTATCTCCATCTATCTTCTACTTTGGGCTGGCAGGTGTCTTGACGACCGGCGCTGCGTTCAACTTTGGGCGTATCATCATCCTTCGAATCGTCGGAGAGCGCATCGTCGCACGTCTTCGGTCGCAGCTCTACCGCAAAACCTTTGTTCAAAACGCCGAGTTCTTCGACGCCAACAGAGTAGGAGATCTCATTTCCCGTCTCGGTTCGGATACCATCATCGTTGGAAAGAGCATCACACAAAACTTGTCGGACGGCCTACGTGCGCTCGTTAGCGGTGCAGCTGGTTTCGCCATGATGGGTTTCGTCAGTCTGAAGCTTACCGGTATTCTCGCCCTGATCGCCCCGCCTGTCGCCCTCGTCGCCTTCTTCTCCGGTCGATCGCTGCGAAACCTCAGTCGGAAAATCCAGAAGAACTTGGGAACCTTGACTAAAATCGCCGAAGAGCGGTTAGGGAACGTCAGAACAAGTCAAGCATTCGCTGGAGAGGTTCAAGAAGCATCACGATACAACCGGCAGATCAAGAGGATATTTGCTTTAGGAAAGAAGGAAGCTGTGGTTGCCGCGAGCTTTTACGGAAGTACTGGACTCATGGGCAACCTGACCATCATCTCCATCCTGTATGTTGGTAGTAACATGGTCAAGAACGGCGTCATCTCTATCGGTGAGCTCTCTTCGTTCTTGATGTACACCGTCTATGCTGGTTCTAGTATGGTGGGTCTTTCTGGCTTCTACGGGGAGATGATGAAGGGTGTTGGAGCTGCCAGTCGTCTCTTCGAACTCCAGGATCGCAACCCAACAATATCGCCCACCAAGGGTCTACCAGTGAAGTCGGCCCGAGGCCCCATCGAATTCAAGAATGTCAACTTTAGCTACCCGACCAGACCAGCGGTAACCATCTTCAAGGACCTCAGCTTCAGGATTGAGCAGGGTACCAACGTGGCCATCGTTGCACCCAGTGGAGCTGGCAAGTCTACAGTCGCTAGTCTCCTTCTACGTTTCTACGTCCCCAACTCTGGAACCGTAACCATCGACGGCCGAGACATCACCACCTTGAACGCAAAACAATTGAGGAGGAAGATCGGTTACGTCGGTCAAGAGCCCGTACTCTTCTCTGGCACGATCGCGGAGAACATCGCATATGGCGTACCCAACGCTACACGCGCTGAGATCGTGGCTGCTGCCCGAAAGGCCAACTGCCAGTTCATCAGCGATTTCGTATGTACAACCCCTATCATATGAGATTCCCGCTAACAAGTACAGCCTGATGGCCTTGAAACACACGCTGGCGCAAGAGGAACTCAACTCTCCGGAGGCCAGAAGCAACGTATTGCCATCGCACGAGCACTCATCAAGAAGCCTGACATCCTTATTCTCGACGAAGCCACGAGTGCTCTGGACGCCGAGTCCGAAACTCTTGTGAACCAAGCGCTTAACAAGCTTCTCCAAGAAAACAACACAACTATTAGCATCGCCCATCGTCTATCAACGATCAAACGGTCCGACCGTATTATCTGCATCGACTCCGAAGGTAGGGTAGCCGAGGAGGGCACCTACGAACAGCTCAGCTCGAACCCAGAGGGCGCATTCAACAAACTCATGGAATGGCAGATGAGCGGCGGCGATGTGCCTGCTAAGGACGTCAAGGCCCCAAAGCCTACGGAAGAAGAGGAAATCGAGCGAGAGCTTGATGAGGAGAAGGAAGAAGCTGCTGGCCGCAGCCGCGTCTAGTGAAGCTGCATCTTTATTTGTATCATATTCAATGGCAGTCGTGGCGATTTTGCGCGACTCTCCTGCTTCTTCATGGAAGCAACGGTGGGCAAGCCCACCACCAACAATGAACCTCCACACAGCACCAGGATTGCTACACGCTTGGGCCAAAACACGCATTCCAAAAGCAGAATGCGCTCCGCAGGGAGACCACAGAGTGATCGCCCTCTCGCATGGCGCTATTTGAGTGGTACTATTTGATCACATAGGAACTTATACGATCACGCTCCTATATTGCCATAGCCTAGGATATAGTTCACGTCCTGACTACCCAAGCATGTGAGGCTTGCAGCTATAATCAAACCATCATTCTCCTCTCAATATCACTCTACACTCTGCAAAACATGTCGGGACGCTTCACTAGCTCCTTTAGCACCCTGATCGCACCCTGCATCGCCATGTCATCACATAATCAGGTACGACACCACTCATAGCACGCACCACAACCCGATACATGAGAGGCTACCAATCGAGGCTCTACTGAACACACTAGCGTACCGAAAAGGCAATCTCCCCGTACATCGTGAGGTAACGCGATGGTGACGTCATGCATACCACGCAGTCTAGACCCTCCACACCTAACGCGCGCTGACGCGATGTATACCGTGATGTCAAAAGCAACGTGCCATATAATCCCCATCTCACTCGACCCCAAAACCCATCCATTCCAACCCAATTCCACCCTAATGCTCAATACCACATCCCGTCTCCTCCGCCTCTCCACATCCACACTTACAAAGCGAAGCCCAGTCACCGTGACCAACTCCTTCAGTACAGCCGCCCCTCGCCTCTACGCCGCCAAAATGGAAGCCTTGAAGAAAGTCGGCAACCGCGAGAACGCACCCCCAAAACACGAAATGGTGCACTTCCCCGGCCTAATGAGCGAAAAGCGCAGTTTCGGCGACTTCCGCACCGTCCTACACACAGGCCTCTACTCGCAAATCGTCGCCATGGAAGTCCCCGTCAACGGCGACATCGGCGACGAAGTCCACACCGTCGACCAGATCCTGCTCTTCACATCAGGAAAGGGGCTGGCGACGGTGAATGGCAAGGACCAGGAGGTTAGGGCTGGTGATGTTGTTGTTGTGCCGGCGGGGACGCAGCATCAGTTTGTTACCAAAGGGGATCAGCCGCTCGAGTTGATTACGGTGTATGCGCCTGCGGAGCATTTGCCGAGTAGTGTGCATAAGACTAAGGAGGAGGGGGATAAGGCTGAGGAGGATGAGATTGATGAGGCGCCTGAGTGGGCGTTGAAGCCTAAGGCGGAGAATGAGAAGAATGGGTTGGTTAAGGAGAGTGGGAAGTATTAGATGGGAAGGCTGTGTAGTCTTAATGACAAGCGTATTCCATGAGGCTGAAAGCTTATGTGTTGTTTGTTGGTGTAGGAGATCGTGAGCCGGGGTACGTTGATGTATAAATATCGCCTGGGAGGTTAGACCTCAACCCATTCCGTAAGCTCTTCCTTGCGAACCTTTTGTCGCAAGAGCCTCCTCTCTTTCCTCTCTCCATCAAAGACGGCGCGTACGATTTGTATGTCAAACTCGCTGCCAAACTTCATCGTAACATCCCATGCCTTTCCTTGTTTGAGCTCCCCAATATCGTCCGCAATCTTGAGAGCTTTGTACTGAACACCGTCTCCCAATGTATCGCCCCAAAACCGTTTTGATTGCGGCATCTTGGTGCGACCGCCTTCAATATCATTTTCTGGATTGAAATTACACACTAACCACGGCGCGCCTGCTCTTCCGTTCTCCTCGATGGCTACGACGAGGATGAAGTTAGAGTCAGACCAGGATCTCTGCCATTCATTTCTTGTAGCCCTTTTTTTGTTACTTTCCAAGTCACAGTCTTTAAGATAGAACACCCGGCCCAGCTGCATAAACACAAAGCCCGTGGCGTCGTTGCCTCTAGACTCGTTCGTAAGTCCAGATTGATCTGATTCAACATCCTTAGGCTGGGCTCCTGCGGTCTCGGTATCGGATGCCGTCTTCCACATGTTGATACCAAGTATATTTCCGAATTCCGGCCACTCACGTTTGTCGTCCCAGTCCACGTCTTCATCCTCGTATATGAGTTTGTTATACCAATCAGGTACTAGGTCGAAGTGGTAGTCGCAATGCATTCCCAGTTCTAGTGCGCCCTTGTCTATCCCATGCATTATGTCATAGACGTCTTCGCGCGATTCTTCGATAAGGAAGTTGGTCTCTTGGATCGCTTTGATGAGATCGGCGGCGGTTGGACGTGGTTGGTTTTGGCGGATGCGTTCTGCTTCCTCTGCCTCTTGATTCATTTGCTTGCGTCGCCATTCGTGATATCTGTCTATACTTGCTATGTCGGGAAGGAGTTGTTCCATGCCTCGGGGCTGGTGGGAAGAGCTGTCGTCGTTGGTGCTGGGATAGCCAGCTTGCGACATGGCGCTGGCCATAAGTTCTGCGAAGATCTTCTCGCAATCGGCGTCGGTTAGCGATGACATGGTATCTTTTCGCTTGTTTGTTTAAGTTTGAGTGAGAAGGAAAGAGGGAGAGAGAGGTCAATTCCAATCTTGCGGTGTGAAAAGGCAACTTTGTTGCGTGTAAAAGCTCTTCAGGTGAACCATGGTACCATCAGTGAGTCACATGGTCTATTATTCAAACTTTGAACCCTTGCCAGATTGAAAAAAACGTTAGTTTCGTCCGCTTCGAATAGTAAGACTCGATGTATTTGTTATGCGGTTCCATGCTCGTGAACATAAACTTCGCCTGTCCAGCTAGTGTATGTTTCGCGTAGTGATACCTAGGTAGTAGTCTCATTATGAGAATTAGGCCCGCGGCTCTCCAAAACCTCTAGACTTGATACGACTGCTACTGCATCGAATTTGAATACAATGATTAGTTGAACACGGTGGATACTAACAGTTGGTGTGCATCCTGCGCATCTCCAACTAGACCTCGAAAACTTGAGAAGCGGGTGTTCCGGCATAAAGACATCCCGTTCGCCATTTCACCGCCGCCACCTTGAAGTGCAACTCAATCGTCCTTCAGTCTGCACCCTCTAGCCACTTCAACGACCCTCCTCAAAGATCTTCTGTCGCACGAGCTTTCCTCTCGAGGTAGATGACGTATTTACCACAGCGACAAGCTGGGGATTGTAGTCATCACCGAACCGGCTCGTCATGACCCATTGCTTGTCAAATCCGAGCTCACCAATATCCTCCCCAATTTTTACGGCAACATACTGGTTACCAGAGCCTGGAAGCGTCCCCCACTCGTCGTCAGTCTGCGGGATGCGGAACCGGTTGCCCTCCAGTTCGTGTACTGGCGTGAAGTTGAATAGCAGCCACGGGGCTCCCGCACTTCCGTCGTCTCGGACTACTACAACGAGAACGAAGCCGGAGTCCAACCACGGCATCTGTATGGGGAACTTGCTGTCGTCGTGGTACTTCTGCTTTCTGGAGTCATCGAGGTAGCACACTCTGCCTAGTTGCATGAATACGAACCCGGTGCCATCGTTACCAGTGGAGATGTTGCTGCTACTAGACTCGTCCGAGCTGTGCTCCTTACGTCTGTCTCCCGTCCACGGAACTGTCTTCGACAGATTGATACCAAGAATACAATTAGGCATCGGCTCGCGTTCGTCGTTCCAATCAATGGCGTGATCTTCCGACCTCAACTGGAACAGGTCTGGCCTCAGACAGTAGTGGTACTTGCCATACGTTCCAATCTCGATATGAGAGTACAAGTCGGTCCCGAGTAGGTCGCATAGGTTTCCGCGCGAAATTGGGTCGAGTAATTCCACTTCTCCTATGGCCCTGATGATCTCGTCGGCGCTTGCAGGCTCTGGAAGCTGTCGACTGAGCTTGGTCCGCTCACGACACCAGACTTTGTACTTCTCTAGGCTGTCCTGCATCATAGCGTACAAAGTCAGCGTATTGATCACAAGCAGTTCAGACGGATATTCTTACATGATCTGGGAGCAGAGCCTCCATGCGCGCTTGAACCTTGGTTTCAATTGAAGGGTCTTTTGGTAGGCGCGGGCTGCCGTCTGGGTTCTTGTAGCCAGTCCTTGATAGATCTCGTAGCTCTGTGTAGATCTCCTTGCATCGGTCATCGGTCATCGTCATAGCAGATTAACCAATGCAGTCGTACCGCGTCTTGGAAATGAGAACGGTCTTGCGCGAAGTACTTAATGGGTGACTCAGGAGTGTGGACGAAGGAAGTGGTTGGTGTACTGAGAGTAGGTTGCCTAAAGACGGGCTGCTTGGATATTGGTGATCGCAATTCACCATGGATCTGATCCAGAACTTGATGGCTATGCACACTTTTCGAACGAGTGGGTGTGGGTGCACACACAAACTGCTTGACCTAATAGTTCGGTAGCTAAACGCAATCAGCGCACGCATAGCGCAAGCATCAACCCCCGACCACGGTCGTTGCAGGACCACAACCAGTCGTTACGGAAAGCTCATTCCACCCGAAGTTCGCTGTTCTTTTTGAGTCGTGCTCAACGCTGCAATGAACCCTGGAAGAATCTGCCAAGCCTTAGATTGTTTTCTCTGCAGCGCACGATGTGCCAAGTACAGCCATGTACGACCGTAAGTGAGGGTCCTCGTTTTTTATTCGTATGATCAAGATCAGGGATCGAATCATTGTATCTTTTACACAGTTGGCTTTGTACTCGGACTGAGGTGGGTAATTAATGAAGCATATCGCATCGCCAGCTGACCCTCATCCGTATCCCAAACCAGATCTTGGAAAATCGCAAGTTCGGAAAGTGGGGGAGAAGTTCGGACAGGCTGCTGGACAAGCAGCGCGATTGTTAGTTCCACTCATCGGTATCGAATAGACATATGCTGCCCAGTGTGAATCGATCATGAACTCACCGTGATGTTCCATCGCGACTTTGCTTTCCGGGTGGTGTATGGGTTTTCGTCATAATGCAGCTGAGTTAGTCACGTATTACTACAAGCGGTAAGAAGGGTTCTCAGTGATCTCACAAACCTCCAGATCAGAGTGACGAATGGAACAGTGCCAGAATTCAGGGTCGTGACAGTTGCATCACAGATCTGCAATTGAGACTCGAGGCGTGTGGGGCCGCTAAGAGAGCGTTTTCAACGTTCTTCCACCATGGCGGAACACGATAGTGACGCGGACCCTGCGCGCGTTCGCGGTGGTGGACGATGGTCTGTCAGCCTTGCCGTGGCGTAGTATGACATGTTTAGAGGCAGTCTAGATTAGAATACGGGTGTAAGTATCAGGCATATCCTGACATTGGGCGAACCCAGGTCTTGGTGCGGTAGGTTTTCGTGTGGCGTTGCAACGACGTAATAGCGCTGCAATACCCCGATCGCGACATTTTGGCGAAGGTACTGGATGCACTCAAGATGAGGGGAAACATGGCAGGATTAGTGTCTTCAGAGAGGAACAGCGGCCGGAGTCACGATAGGTAGCTCGCGGGGTCGGGCTCTGAGCCGAAGTTTGGTTATCAGATGCGATAACCGCCGAGAGACCGAGGACCGGGCGGCGTGACAATGGCATGTTACAGAATTTGCGCGACTATGTGCCGAGAAGGCCTGCGCTTCAGCTCGTGGTGATTGCGGTGAAGGCTGGTGGTGTAATATAACGCGTTCGGTGAGCACCATGATCAGGAGATGGGGCTGATGCCGTGGGCGCAGCCAAGATAGTCGCAAGATGGGTTGATCTAGGTCTATATCGGATAAAGTAGGACATGACAAGTGGGAATACGAGCGGTTTCGGCGATGGGGCGCTGACAAGCGTCATTCGGCAGAAGTGGGCGTTCGGGATGCTCATCTCAGCCTTGAAGGCGTCGTTGATCGGCAGTGGGAAAAGCGTCCGGGCGCGGCCTCTGTCGAACATTTGTCCATCACCACCAGGCCTCACCTCATGCCCACACCCTCTGCCACGGCTAGAATCCGCCCAATACGAATCTATTCACAGTCACTGTCCATCGTGTCACCGATCTCGGGAATTCGCACGCGGCTGCCACTCGGTCGTGTTCGTTTGCCAGCCAGTCGAGGTGAGTGATGCCACGATCTGATAAGAAATTCGGTTGCATCCAAGCATCAGATAACCACCACCATCCCCCACATGCTCTGCGGTCGCACATCTCCGTCGTCCGCGGTTCAACAAGCAAGCGCGCCATGCACACCTGCACCGCGCCTTGCTGTTGCATTGAATTCCCCATGGCCATACCAAGTCAGCTCTTGCTAATCATGGTCCGCGCTAGCACTCCCCTTTGTCGCGTCCCCGGCAGCACGCCCATCGCTCCTTCACCTCACTCCACGCAGGCACATGGCAACCTCGACAGCCACCATGCCCAGCCCCATACCTACCACGGCGACCTCCCACCCTGACGACCCAATTCCTGCCGAGCCAAAGGATATCCCACAGCTCTCACTCCGGCCCTCGCCGGCACAGCAGTCGCAGCCGGAGCAGACGTCGCCCAAATCCTCGGGCGAATCCACGCTCTGGACTACCAGCAGCGATGAGTCTGAGGCACCAATGACACCAATGACGGAGCCCGACCAGGGTGTTGAGGAAGTAGTCGATAAACTACAGGAACTGCCTACCTCGGCTGTCAATTTCTCTGGGCAGACGCGTCCTCGCCGCGCATCTACCACGCTCATTTCGGACAACCCAAACGACATCAGACGGATACTGGGCGAGGGTGAGACGGCCACCAAGCTCATCAGCCAGTGCTGCGGTGGAGGATGCTGTCTGCTCAAGACACTGGCCCCGGACGCATCGTCGCCCAACTTCATACCCGTCGTCGTCCCCGACAACCATGCCTTCCGGAGCCTCAATCTCCAGCTAGGCCCGCTCGGCCTCGACAGCGAGCTCACCGACACAATTCCGCTCCCTCCCGCCAACATGTCCTTCGAGCCTCTGCCATCCAAGGACACCAAGTACGTCTCGCAGGTGCACAAGACGCCGCCCAAGTACGTTCAGCCACACCCGCCCTACGAGGTCTACTCGGCGCCGCTCTACCACGCACGCGAGTTGACCAAGCCGGGCGCTGAGAAGAGAACCATCCATTTCGACATCGACGTTACCGACTACCCCGACGAGGGAGGCGTCGACTTCAAGGTTGGTGGTGCCGTTGGCATCTGCCCTCCCAACTCGCAGGAAATGGTCGATGAGCTATTCGATCTCCTCTGCATCCCCAAGTTTGTCCGCGACAAGCCAGTCACACTCAAGACGCAGACTGGAAGATGGCCGACCATCTGGGGCGAAGACCAAGCGCGCGAGCTTGTCACAACCAGACGCGAACTGCTGACCTGGTGTGCCGACATCCAGTCGCACCCGCCCACCAAGAACCTCCTTCGCGTGCTCGCCGAGTATGCCGAAGCCCCCAACGAGAAGAAGATCCTGACATACCTCTGCTCAGCCCAAGGACAAGCAGCCTTCTGCGACCTCCGTACTACTTCTCACTTCACAGTCTCACAGATGCTCAGCGCATTCCCTTCGTCGAAGCCGCCGCTACCGCACCTCCTCTCCGTCCTCACTCAGCTGATGCCTCGATTCTACTCCCTCTCGAACGATCCCCACATCTCGTCGGCGCGCCCCGGCCTACCCGGTACTCGCCGTCTCATCGAGATGGCCGTCACAATTCACGAGACACCCGATTGGCATGCTGAGGGTGCCACGCGCACAGGTGTCGGCAGTGGCTTCATGGAGCGCATGGCGCATGCCTTCATCACAGCCGAGAACGAAGGTGTCGATCCCCGCAGCATCCTCGATTTGCGCATCCCCATGTTCCGCGGGCTCATGGCGAACCCGCTGTCAAAGCAATTTGGTGGTGAAGGCCCCATGGTTCTCATCGGAGCGGGAGTTGGCATGGCTCCTTTCCGTGGTTTCATCCTGAACCGCCTCAAGAACGCCAACTGCGCCAACAAGATATGGCTCATCCAGGGTGTCCGAGACTCCATGCTCGATGAGCTCTACTCGGGCGAACTAGGCGACCATGAGCGTGAAATCAAAAAGGTCGTCCAGAGCCGGAAGGTCAAGGTGGGGGGCTCCAACGAGGTCAAATACGTCCAAGACGAGGTGCGAGTACAGGCGGATATTGTCTGGTTCGTCATTAATGCTCTCGATGGCCGTATCTTTGTCTGTGGCTCTAGTAAGGGCATGGGCGAAGGTGTCGAAGAGTCACTGATCGATGTCGCGATGCAAAAGGGCCGCCTGAGCGAAGCGCAAGCGAAGGAGTTCTGGGCCAGGAAGAAGGAGGACGGACAGTACATTGCCGTAAGTACACTCTCCAATCATGCCTACCTCACACATAACTAACAAACGCGCAGGAAACATGGTGAACATGCCCTCTCTGAACATCTGTACATACAGTTACGGCTTCCGTTTCACGACCGCGTCTCTATCCTTATCGCTACCACATTGCCACGGCGTTCGAACAAAAGGAGTCCTTATAAATCATATAGGCAGAACAAACATTGGTACGCACTTTCAGTCGAAGTTGGCTGTTCATGGCCTCTTCGTTTTCTGGGTTGGGATATTCATCATCACATTAGAAGGACATGCGCGCAAGAGCATGGCGTTTGTCAAAGGTCGGGAATAGGCAATTTGTTTGCGTTATTACTATTGTCAAATCTATATCATCATATCACATGTTGTTGATAGTGGGAAGGGAACGTAATGAAAGATGTTATTACAAGTTGTGGTGTTGTCTGTCGAAAGCTTGATGCCTGAGTGAAAGCTGATAGCTTCTCAATGCATTTGATAGCACTGCTAGGGGTAGCTACCAGTTATTTCGCACCATGTGAAGGAAGTCCTCGCCGTCGAAGCATACATTACTTTTGTCATCATGTATTTATTGGCAATTTGATGGGACGTATGCTACACAAATCCTAGCCACACCCGGTGGCATAAATCCTACGAAGGTCAGTCTTTCCAAAAACCGCCCTTCGCCATAGCCCTGATGAATTTATAGAGCCTATTCACTATGCAATAGCCTGTGTTTTTCATCACTTGTCCATCGTAAACCTTGGTTTCAATGCATCTCAACCATGGCTCTCAACGTTCGCTACTTTACATCGTTATAGCACTTGTGTATAAACGATTTCGATCACTCACATCGCACCGAGAA